CCCTAGTCGGACGTCTCATTCCCAATGCGATGAGTCGGTCTCTCATAAAACATGACCACCATACTCGTTTTCTTAGTTTATGGTCAGCATCCATTCCTTTCGGGTCCCGATGCAACGCAAGCGTGTATGCATGATCAATCGCTCTGCCCATCCAATGCCAAGTGTCTTTGTGATCTTCGGGCGTTTCATACCAGTATGTCATGAGAAGAAGAGATTGCACTACAGTTAGCATGTCATTTTCGTAGTCTAGATCATACAGAACCTGAATATAGTCAGTACTGCTCGAAGTGCGCCCATGCAAGCTTGTTACATACTCTGGCCCTCTGGAAAAATGCTTTCCTCGCTGCTTTCCTTGTACGATGCCCAGCGCGCTTCAAGCTTTCCATATCCACAAAGGCTGTCCCAGAGAACATTATTGATTGGAAAAGCAAGAGACTCATTGCGCCAGACCTCCCTTCATCATTGATTATCTGCAAAACTTTGTGTAATTCTAGAAGTGGCATATATGGATAAATGTATTCGATGAAAGCTTGAAGCAAAGCATTCCGTAGCGGAGGTTCGGGAATAAGTAATGCGCTTTTCGCCCACAGGTAGTCTATATCGACAGAGGTCATTTTCGAAGGAAGGGGGTTGATATATGCCGGAAGTGAATGTTTCAATGAAGGAGGTGGGGAGGATGCCAGACGGGTGCGAACTAGATCGCCAGTCATAGAAGCTCGATGCGCAAGCTGTGCGAGCCTTTGCCCATCAATATCATCGCTTTCTTTTGAATGAAGGGCTGACTGGTCTGGAATTGTCAGTATATTAACCAGCACAAATCGTGTTCTGAACGAGCCCCTGCTTACAGATTGAATGAGGCACATGCTCATGTAAATGCTGGGATTGGGATGTAACGCTGGGCCCAGATGCCCGTCTTATCTCATTATTTGAAGCTTGTTGGGGATATACAATATTGTCCGTGTAGGCTTGGAGGGGAACTGCTTCGGCGGCGGTATCGCTACTGCCTCGTTTGGTTCTGCTCATTGCATATGTTAATAAAATATACAATTTTAAAATTATGGCTTTTAGCCGTCTGTGTAACTAACCTTCTCCTTTTACTTCCAGGGACTAAGCATTGTATTCCATCAATTGCACAGTTGTTACATACTCTTTCTCCAGCGTCGTTGACGCGCTCACTACGCTCCACATCACACCGTACTTTTCGACTTCTACAATTTGTACATGCGATTGAAGAACGTTTTTTCTTTTCGGGAACTGCGGTTTCTCCTCCATCTAATGACTTTCTCTTTTTCGACTTAGCACCGGGAGATTGTGGTTGCGATAATTGGGCTCCGGAAAGTTCTCCCATTGCCAAATCTCGTTGCTCCTCGTCGTGCACAGCGGATTGCAACAAGCTCAAAGATGCGGGATCCATTGTGTTACTGCTAGAATTGTGTGAGACAAGAAAATTTTATGGACTAAGTACTTTTGGGGAGTACAGGAAGCATGTGAATATCGACCAGGTGTAGAAAAGCCAATAATTGTGTAGACGAGAATGAAGGGGTCGGTTTGGCATGTGATCTGAAGATAATAATACTGAGACTGTATATTTAAATTTTTGCTTCTGATTCCACACTAGTAATATCCCAAACTAGAATTAATGATAATGATATGACCGAAGAGAAAATTAAAAACGATCGGAAGGTGTGGAAGGGAGCTCCCAACTATATAAGGTTGTAGAAATTGTAGAGGACACTAAAGAAATAATATACCTAGCACCTGGTATTTATATTTATTGGAGAAGTCTTTTTTGTGGAGGACAGAGCAAGGATAAAAAGCTTCTATCATGAGGGAAGTTGGGAGATCGCAGGCATATGAGACTAAGTAGAAACACAAATTTGAATCGCGTGGATCAAAATCTTGTTAATATCTAATAAATATTTCTGATAAGTTTAAACATGATGCTACTTTGCACTCAAACGGTAGTTTTGACTTATAATGAAGGGTATTCCTTAATACACCTGCACCTACCGGTAGGCCGAGTACCGGTACATACCAAAGGCAGATAGATGGTAGGTAGCATGAGGGAATTAGCACTGCTCCGAGTTCATCTGTATAACGCCTGCTGTACTTCGTGGTGGAGAGTATAGAAATATTCATGAATCACACAATGTGTTCTTCCTCGTCTGAAACTCATCTAAAAAGTTAGACGATCTGAAAAGAATCTGATAGCATTTTCGTACTTCCTTCGTTTGTTGTATCAATAACTTCTCCCCACCAAAGCTAAAATCACCTCGATCCCCTCCTACTCCGCACAGTTCTTCTTGAGAGCTAAGGAACTTCATAGTATCCAATTAGATCTAGGGCATTGTTATTCCGGCCTAGATTTGAAGCCTCATATCAAACAAAATTCATGGACGATAGCGCATCTAGTAGCCATTCCTGGAATCCCCCGCTCCCCCTTGAAAAAAACGGCACAAGAGTCAAGGATTCATTTACTGGGCATCCCACCTCCCACATCTCCGCAAAAAGATGATAAATATGGAGATTGAGGTTACGAGTTAATGTAAGAAAAGAAAAGGTACCTAAACGCCTTTTTTCGCACAGCAACGGCTTATGTCGATCAACGGCAATGTAGGATGCAACGGGTATGTGACCATGTGGCATTCAAAATGTTAATCGGTATTAGAAGTTGGTGGACAGTGTTTGCGATTGAGGTACCAGCAGGTATTTACCTGTGTCTCAACCTCTTTTACTAGAAATAGAAAGACAAAATGTTTGCTAGGTATCCTTATCGGTGTTAGTTTCCTGACCCCAAGTAAGGATTTGCCCCACCGTTGATGCTTTGAGCGGCTTTTAGCGGAAGTGGAACACTTACCTAGTAATCACTTAATTACTCAATCAGAACAATTGGAGGAAAACAAGAGGAAACCCAAACTAACAAGGGAAGATTTCCGATGATTTTGTCATGGCTTTCGTGTTCCTTCCGTTTCAATCTCGATACCTACCTAGAACCTTCACTTTCACATCTTCAACATCTTTAACCATCAGCGAATGTAATAAGATTTAATAAATCTCCGGCGGCCAGCTTCCCCATGAAGAAACTTTAACAATACAATCGATCTAGCTGCACCTGTCGGAAAGAAAAGTTTGACACATCCCCAGATGTATATTCTCAATTATGAATTCGGAACAAATGCCGTTCTCAATCCCAATTCTATTTTTTTGGCATAAAGCCATCGAAAAATCGCTCACACGACTCGTTTCGGTGCAGTGGAGATTTCCATTTGATAATACTCGGTCTTGGCTCCTAAGTAGGCAATGAATTTGTGCTTGGTGATTACCGAGCTTAACCGGACGAAAGGGGCGTGCACTAGCACTGGGCACGTGTGCTTTCGTAATCTTGAGACAATTAATTTGTGATGAACAAAAAGATGTGCATGTGATGGACGGATAGGTGGACGGACGTTTGATGAAGAAGAGTTGACGTCCGTAGGATTTGATAGATCTTCCTCAGGAGTCAGGGGCTTATAATAGGAGTATGAATACGGTGTATCCGGGTATTGTCCTCGGGATTCCCGTGATGTGGATGAACATGGTGTCTGTAGGCTTTTCTTGCCAATACTGTGAAAGTGCTCGATCTTCAATGGTAATGGTTCTGCACAGAGCCGTCCTCGCCATGTAAGAGCCGTCTTTAGAAAAGGGATGATGAATCTGGTTGACGAGTCACGCTAGTACTAACCATCCGAACCTTGATAGATTAATGATGGACGTCAAGGTTCTTTATGAAAATTATATAAGAACTTACATATGTACTGAGTATGCCGGACGGAGTTCATATGGCTGGATTATTCTAAAGGTTTCACTTCTCTGATGAGTCTCCATGCGACATGTAAGTTACTACATAGGAGTCACAGGACACAACTGTTAAACGCTATCGAACTCTCTTTACAAAAGATCATCGGCAGAAATAGACACATCCAGCATTGTACTGTAGTCTCTATCTACAGAAGAAGTGTAAGCCTCATTCCATTGGGGATCGAGCCGAATCATCTACTCCATATTGTAATTCCTTCCTAGAGGCATTATTCACGCTCACTCGATCGAACAATACTGTATGTACGAGTAGTACACATTGAGTACTATTTGAGTTTATAGCAATCTTGGGATTTTTGTTTGTCGTTTGGGTTGGTAGAAAGACTACTGAACGTTCGGACCCTGTGGACGTGCTTCTCACAAAAATATGAATCAAGAAGCACAACATATACCAAACACATACCTACCCGTCTACACATGTGAAATCCAAATTCCACATCTCAGAGTTGAGAAAACCGTCTTCTCTTATCTTTCTCTTTCCGGAACTTTTACTCCCCTCTTCATCCACCATTTCATGCAAAGAGTTCTCAATCAGGTCAAAGAGATGGTGTGGTTGCCGTATTACCCTTTCACTCACGTCACCATTTTTAACCACCATCCACTTTTTATCATGACGTCGATTATCGATTTCAACAGATATTCGGAGATAGTACTCTCAACCGTCAACCATCAACTCTATCTGCGATAACTCGATGATATCGATGACATTCGATGATTTCGGTCCATTGGTTTATGTCTAAATGCCATGATATTTTCTTGGCACAGACTACTTGTCGTTCTAGAATTCCATTCTCTAATACATGGCAATTCATTCTTTCCCTTCCCAATTGGCTCTTTCCCCATTGTATCGTAGGAATTCTACAATAGACACGAAAAGAATGACCTCATTCATTGATTTTGCGGCTCATTGCTCCTGCTGCTTTGAATTAGTAGCCCATGAGGACTAGGTAGGATTTATCTTGTTTGTTGATGTGAAATCGATATTACAAATCCCAAACTCGAACGATTATAATAACTTGATTCCCATCTGAATGTTATCTCAAGAACAGCAAGAATTTCAAAATTACCATCAAACACTCTATCAAAACACTCTCACCCAATTAGACCAATTCACTCTTTCCATCAAAAACAGACAATCCTCCAATATGTCTTCAAGCGTTCCAGAACAGATCGAGGGATTTACTATCTCTTCCACCGAGAAATGGAGTGATTTTAAGAAAGCCAAGGTATGTTCCCCTCGACCATTCAACTGCTCTAAAGAAAAACAACTTTCCTAGAAGCTTCAATCTGGGCTCATCAAGACACTCCCCATCATACTCTTTACTAACAACTCTTTTAGTTCCCCGCCAAGAAGTTCGAAGCACATGATGTTGACATTGTCAATGAGGTTCGTAATCCTTTACATACTCTGCTTTCTCGGTTCATTTCTTAGTGCATTCTAATGATGGTTTGCTGACTTACCATCTGGATATAGTGCTGCGGAGTCTGCGGTTCTGACGTTCACACCATCACCGGTGGTTGGGGCGATCTAGCCACCACCCCTCTCTGTGTCGGCCACGAGATCATCGGAAAAGTCCTCCGAGTCGGCGAGAAAGTAACACTCGTCAAGCCCGGTGACCGTGTTGGAGTTGGTGCTCAAGTCCAATCCTGCATGCAATGTCCACAATGCAAGAGCGATAACGAAAACTACTGTCCCAAGATGGTTGACACATATATGGCACCATATAATGAGGATGAAGGTCACAGTGATAAACCCATGAAGGATAGCAATGGAAACCAAATCTTCTCACAAGGAGGTTATTCCAGTCATTCGAGAGTTCACGAACAGTTCGTTTTCAAGGTTCCAGACGGACTTGAATCGACTGATGCAGCACCAATGATGTGTGCTGGTCTCACCACATATTCGCCTCTTGTCCGTGCTGGCACTGGACCTGGCAAGAAAGTTGCAATTCTTGGTATTGGCGGACTTGGACATTTTGGTATTCTCTGGGCCAAAGCCTTGGGAGCCGAAGTCTGGGCTCTATCCCATTCCCCAAACAAGAAGGAACAAGCTTTGAAATTGGGAGCTGATCATTTCGTTTCCACCCAAGACAAAGACTGGCAAAAGCCTCTTGCTTTCACTTTCAACTTCATCCTCAACTGCGCAGATATGACCAATGAGTTTGATCTCACTGCTTACATGTCTACTCTTGCCGTCAATGGAGAATTCCACAATGTCGGTCTCCCAGATAAGCCACTTCCTGAATTGATGGCACAAGATTTTGTTAGCAATGGTTGCAAGATCGCTGCATCACATATTGGTTCGCGCAAGGAAGCTCAAGCTATGTTGCAATTGGCAGCTGATAAGAAGATCAAGCCTATGATTGAGACGATTGATATTAGTGAGGAGGGTTGCAAGAAGGCGGTTGAGAAGGTCAAGGTCAATGATGTTAGATATCGCATTACTTTGACTGGTTTTGAGAAGGCCTTTGGTACTAAGGTCGATTACAACAATTAAAAAATGGTAATAATGGAATGGGTTTATGAGATGTTAAGAGATGGATGAGTGGGTTTATGACAATAATGGTTACACTGTACATTAGTTACGAAACGATAAAAGCAATGACGATATTAATTAAGCAACATTTGGTTTTGTCAATGAAGTACAAATTGCTTTCAACTGAATGTATTCGAATGAGAGAAGAATCGTATTGGCCGAGGTGAAGATGTCGTAGCAAACAACAGGTGAGGTTGCAACAACATTGCATTCCTCATATCTTTATGGCTAAATACAAAAAGAGGGAACTGAAGATCCCTCCTTTTTGCGACAGATTAATTGGAAGTGAGATGGATTTGACACTTCACGCATGTCAGGAATGGACGGGGGGTGATATATATCCCAAAAGACTATTATCATATACTTCCCAACGCTGGATATATCATCCACACGATACCCATCTCCTACACCATTTCCAGACAAACATTCAAAAACCACCTTTCCTATTTTCTCAATTCTATATTCTATTTCCTATATTGTATTAGTCGAAACAAATTGTAAGTGATGAATGGGAGTGAGTGTAAATCCTCGGGGTAGCGAGGTTGATGTGCTATGTCATGCTATGTCATGCTATGCTATGCTATGATTTTGTATTGGAAGTAGATGGGTAGGTGATATACATATACTATGTGTATATGTATCTAGGTAGGTAGGTAGGTATATAGTTCTGTACGGTTTGGGGATATGTAATAAGTTGAGAAGGCTGATTTTTGGGGCGTGGAGATGGATTGGAAGGGAGGGTGATGAGATGGGATGGGATGAAAGGGAATGGGATGAAAGGGCATGAAATAGAATAGAAAACCCCCCATCCCATCCCATCTACATACATATCTACATATCTCCATAGAATTGCAATAGATAATACCTACCCAAGTACCTACCTACCTGACTACAGGTATATCCATGTATAATAGTCCAGATAAATAGTCCAAGAATTGGATTGCATGCGCGAGGGAGAGGAATATCGGTGGATAGAGAAGGTACCTAGTGACTAGGTACATAGGTGAAAGGAGAGAGAGAGATATCTAATGGATAATAGTAACAGTGGTATTGGCTTGATTTCCAGATACAATCAATCTTCTTCCGATTTTCTCAGGTGATAAATAGATAGGTAGATAAACAGTAGGTAGGAATACCTTGTGTTGAGGATCTAGACTTATAAAACTCGCTTCTAAGCTTTAGGATTTTAGGATGTGTATTCTGAGAGGTAGTTTTAGTCAAAATGTCTAGGTATTTGTGTTCGACGCGATTCAAACATTACATCGTCAAATGAGAAACAAAGCCTAATAGTATAAACTTGAACAGCTAGTTCCGTTGCGTAGAAGACGTTATACAGAACGATTATTGGAATCTCTAGATTCATGCAACTCCTTTCTTCGCTTGTAGAAAATTTTCCTGGCCAAGGTGTTCTTCAACGCCCAATTGAAGATCAATGCCCGGAAGATGTCCAAAATCAAGATGCCAGGCCTGCGGAGTCCATCAAAAATCTATTTACTGTCAAGTGACTTCAGGATCCAACCATCCCGAAACACGCATCATCCTGAAACCCATTATATATATATAACTTCTCCCAAATAAAGACCCGATCCTAAAAGACTGGAAAAACTATTTTGAGATCAATTGCGCCATTGAAATAAACACATTCAGTCAGATCCACCCCCAAATTTTGCGCACAAAGAAAAAGATTATGATAATATTCAACACACTCCATATAATTGTTGCATTCATTTGCTCACTCATGCGCACCAGTCTCAAAGAAATTAGCTTGTATAGCCTTCGAGCCTCCGCCATGCGAGTAAATGCAAATTGTTGTTCGGAGCCTTTCTTCGTGAGTAAAAGTTGTATCGAGGCTTAATATATTTCGTTGCGGAGATACATTTTTGATTCTGTCGAGGGGTCTGAAATTGCTTTCTTTTGCCGAGGGACTGCTTCTGAAGGACCGCTTCGCTTACAATTTGAATAAATCAAATTCCTCTCTGCCCTTGCTGACCCAATCGTCTTCTAAACTGGCCTGAGAACCTCGACGAGGACAAGTTATGTGCCAGTGCAGTATCATCTTTGGAATCATCGGTTCATCATATCCAACTTCAGGGTTTCGATACTCTTTTTCGACCTCAGGACCCGACATTTGTAACCAATGTTTTCTTCTCAAACACCATTCTTGTGCTATGTCCCAGACCATTCCCATTCTAAGACCTTCAGGACATGGCAGAATGACAGTTTGTTGCATAATTCCACTTCGATCATACCTAATTCTCTCTATCGCAAACTGATAACAAGGAGGTTGGAATACGAGCATATCACGCCAGCTCGCATCGGCTCTCTGCTGTAATTGATGTTAGTAAGGGGCTGAAATGGTAGCTTTCCATGGTAAATTAATGGGATTGAGACAAGAAACCAAGTCATGCCACAGCATCCAAAGCAGAAGTAGAAAATAAAGCAGGACGGAGCAGTCCCATAAATTGCAAACTTACAAAAGCGTCGGGATTTCGCTTCCATGGTAAAGTGTCGAATGCGGTTGAGTCAAGTACATTACGATTCGATATAAGATTGAAATCAAAAAAGATACCGAATTGTTTTTCTAATAGATCTGACCATGTCGACGGTCCGTTATGTATCGCAGGTCGAAACCATTGAGCTCTTTCAAGTGACGGTGAGGTAAGGGCTACCCCCCAACTTCTGCACACAAGTGGAATTGTGGATAAAAGACAAGTCTGGGGAAGATAAGATAAGACTTCATGGAGAAGCTCTGGTATTGCGAATACCCTTGATGCTGCTGAGGTTTCAGTCATGATGAGTGAGATAGATTTGCTTTGCTCTGATTTGAAATGTTGATGGATTGAAGTGAAGCTTTCAAAGATATATAGGAAATGAAATAAAGATAGAAAATGCGACAGTACCAGTGTCAGCATCCCATAGGTGTTGTCTTACGGTAGATCATCGCATGTATGTACGGGACCAATAATCCCTTGTTCCATTCATGCCGGGGTTGGTGCGGGAAACCTTGATGGGCAGCTGGATGGGAACAAACGATGCGAGCACACAGCACACGTCACTGACTCGATATATTGAGAGGGGAAGGGATCGTTCTTGGCAGTAGGTACTCAAGTAATGTCGAATGTGTAAATTTTGATTGTCAACTATACTGCGAGATGATGATATTCGTAACTCCTAACGCCGCCTTCCTGGGTATCTTGGTATCTTGGTATATCTTGTTATCTTATAAAGGTTGGATGGAAAAGGGTGGACAGCGACTCATCATTTGGTCTTCGTGCGACCTTTTCCCTTTTCATTGGTAGATTTCGCTTTCTCTTGATCGATGAAATCCTTGATGATATCGTGTAAGGCATCATTCCTTCTTGTAACGAGTAACACATCATCCGTCGTTATAGTTGATCGTCCAGCGTGTCGGGAGAAACTTTCGAGATCCATCGTTACATTCTCTAAGACGCATCTCCATAAGAAGGGATTGCTTGACGGATAAGGATGGATATAACATACCTATTTGATGCCATACCATCTCAGTCAATGCTCCGATGAATTGATTCGTAGCATTTGAATTGAGCCGCACGGCTTCTTCCTCCACGATCTTTCCAATTGAAAACCAAAGAGCTGCTTTGAGTCGCTGCGAGTTGTATTGTCAGTAGTTGTATTGTCAGTAAGTAACATGAGAAATATGAGGTTTCCCATGTATAATTACTCACTTCATGGAGCTCATCATCGATCGGAGGCATATTTGGAGAGATAACACGGTATCGTAAGTGGCAGGCAAAGTAAAGCAATAAGGTCAAAATGTCAAAATGTCAAAATGCCAATACTTTGAGAATTGCCTTTTTATCTTCTTTCTATCCATCAATTGACATCGAAATTGAAATGGAAAAATCATCGTCGCGTTAAGTCATCTGAGGGAGAACGCGTTTACCGAAGTCAAGCCGGGACCCTCACTACCTCGACCGCGAGACCGCCTCCGAAACTAAAAATTCTAGAATCCACATTTATATCTCATTTCCCTCAATTTCACTGCGCTGTCCATAATCTCTTCAAAAAGACACATTTTACTTTCTCTTTCCTTCACGTCCAGAGATCTCACAATCTATCTCAAAGTTACGCCGTGTCGCAAGTCTCAACTTATTCTACTGTATGATATAATCCAATTCGTCTCAAATTATCTCTCACATACACCCATCGACTTTCTTTGAAAACACTATATATCGACCGCATCATTCACCTTCCAAATTCAGTCCTCAAACAACATTGTACTAGATCATTCAAATCAACTTCAATCCTCAGAAAACATGGCGGAATTCATAACCAATCTCCTAGAAATGGGAGCTGCCAATTTCTACCGAAATACAACAGGAGCTTTCGCACAAATGAAGGATATGGAACTTCAAAAATGGATTCGAATCGTCGCAGTCGTTGGAGCATACCTTCTCATTAGGCCATACTTCATCAACCTTGGTGCGAAGAAGCAAGAGAAAGAATATGCCAAAGCCAGAGCTGAACATGCCGAACAAAAGGAAAAGGAAAAGCATGTTGGCGCAAATTCTTTTAGAGATTCGGCCAAGGCTTCCGAGGATACCGATAGCGAGGAGGATGCCAAGGCCACTTCGAGTGATGTCAAATGGGGCGGCAAGGCACGAAAGAAGCAAAGACAGGCAATCAGAAAGATTTTGGATCAGGAGGAGATGTTGAGAAAACAACAACAAGAGGATGATGAGGACAAGGATATTCAGGAATTCTTGCACGATTAGGGGTAGATGTGTGAATAGCTTGCTTGGGCAGTACATAGGGATGTATATTATAAAGGGGGGATTATATATTGTCAATCTTAATATCGAACTTGAACACATCCTCGTTTTTCTGCGAAAATCTCCCTTTACATTTGTTTTGAGAGGACGATGTACTCGCTCCCGATTATCTACTCACGCTATCATGGGATTATTATATCCCCCTTGAAGGTAGTCAGCCAGTAATAGAGGAAGTAGAAAGGGCATAATACGAGGAAATCGAGATAAAAACGATTGGAAATCTCCAGGGACCTGCGGCATCTAGTTTGTCAATCCAAAGTCTGGATGAAAAGGGGGGCAAACTTGGGGCTGTATTCTTACTGGACAGATGGTTGAAATGGAGGGTTGATAAAGCTGTTCTATGGTCCCAATTATCGAGGCAAAATGTTCCAAGTAGCATTCAAATGTACGTCTTTCAACGATGCCGTTGCTTACATTTTACATTGTACATTGTACATTGCCTACATTGCTTGTTACTTATTAGATCCACCGCTCTTTAGTACGACATCACCAGATCGCGTTATTATCCTATTAGCATTCTTCTACTGGTAGAGTATATTCGTATACAACTTTAACTTTCCAGCTCCTTCTTTTATCGTATGTATTATATGTAGGATCTTTGTGCAGTGAATATCATTTGAATGGTCGAATGAGGGGTCATGAAGAATTTTAGCCGCATGGAAAAATGTCTGTGTGCGATAACCTCCAGGCCAGGGCTACCATAGATGTCTCAGAAAAAGGAAGGAATCCAGTCATCACTCGTAATTCGTTCCGTCATATCCTACTTCAAACTCTCAATACACGCAAAGTAAACTTCTACTACCACTACCACTGCCAACATTGCTAATAATACCTATTTATACGAATTGATAGTGGTGAGCTATTACGAGAGACAATAATAATAATAATCCTGAATCTCCACATATCAAAGATTGAGGGCATTGTCTTAATTTTATCATCTTTCATCCCATCTAATAATACTCACTCAAATCGCATGGACACAAGCTTCATAGCTCATAAGTCCTCTTGATCCAATAACACCATAGAACCAACTAGCTCAAAATTTACACATACCGGCATGGAAAGGCCTGATAGACGACAAGAAAGGGATGTCAATGAATTGTTGGCAAATGGATTCTTCCGAACTTCTAGAGCAAGAAGTCCTTCGCCGTATGTTTTCTCCCCACCAAGTTTCCCCGGAGGTTCTGATGGTCCGCTAAATCATTATTTAGATATAGCTATAGAAGAAGAACTCCCAGCCCTCCTCCACAAAACAATTATACATCTAGCTTCCTGGGCACTTCCGATCGTGATGCTGGACGTGCAAGAAGCAGAAGTCGTGTTCGACATAGAGGACCACCTCCACCGAGACCAACAGTAGAAGATGAGGCCATTTCACTATCACGAGAATCTGCACCATCTTCTGTTTCCTCATACGATCCTCCTTGTCGTGGTGTTATCGATCAATACCCTATCATACTCGAGTCTGATGTCAGTGAGAGTGAGGCTGAGAGATTACATGCTGCGCCAAGACCGAAAGAATCAAGGGACTGTGATGACAATTCCGAACGACGTTTTGTTCTTGTACCAGGAACCGATACAAGCTCTAACAATGAATCAGCCAATCAGTATAGAAATGAAGATAGGCAACCCAGAGGCAGACCGGAACAAGCTAGATCAGAACGCCAATCCGCACCAAATGGGGACGAGCATGAGAGGAACAAAATCAACAACGAGCCGGTGCTAAAACCCCCTCCATTGGAAAGGAGAAGAAGTAGGCAAGAATTGCCAAGTATACAGACAAAAGTCCCTCGAGATATTCCGTCAAAGTACCGAAGGAGTGCGTCTGCATATGGTTCCAGGGATAATGACGAAACTCCAAAAGCTCCAGATGTTCCTCATACTTCGACTGGCGAATACTTCCTCTCTCCTAATATGATGCACACTCCTAGGGGCCAGAAAGAGTCTTTCGAATCCGTTGCGCAGCCCGTCCCTCGACACCACTCATTACAAGAGAGCTCGAGAAAACGCGGCAATTCTATAAATGAGAAAAGAAATAGTGAAAGCAACTTTCCTAATAGTATATCGCGATCGGGAACACCACTCGCAGCAAAGAGGAACAGTGGAAATTTTGAGATTCCTTCAAGATCAAGGCGGAATTCAAACGAAAGAACTGTACAATCACAGCCCACACCTGAAGATGTAAAACGATTCGAGCGACTAAGATCTGGCAAGTCGGATCGAGGATCTGGATCAGAACGTGCACGCTCTCCTAAAAGATCGGCTACTTCCAACTTGCAGTATTGCAGCAGCAGTGAAGATGATCTTGCAGACAGTGGTTCCGAACGAGATTCTCAACGAGGTTCTGGGCGTAGACGGCGTGAACACCGCAGGACTAAGGATTTACGGCCAGAAGATGACTATGAGCGTCGGGTAGACTCGCCAAGGTCAAATAGGTCATCAAATCACTCTAAACTTTCATCTCCACTTCCTTCTCCAAAGCTTTCTCCCAATCAATTGCCTAGGACAGAGCCATTTGAAAGAGCAGAGACGTTTCCACAAGGTCGCAGACCTAGTTCAAGACCCATTTCTCCTTTATATGGCCCACAAGAGATTCACCGCTCGGAGAGACTTAATCCTTTGAGCCCAGGTTTAGTCCCGAGACCATCTTCTCGTCAGTCAAGTGTCCCAGGCTCAATATCAACGCCACAGATGCAACAAATTCCGGCCCCTTTCCCTCTTCCAATTCCTGTTCCAACTAGAATTGACCTACACTCCCCAGGCGAGACTCGACGCACACCAACTGTGACTCAGTATCAGGAAGATCGTCCAGCTAGTACACGACCAGCTCCGAACGATAAGCCCTATTGGCAACCTCCCCCTTTTCAACCTCCTCAGATCCCTTCAAATAAACTAGAGAGACCTGTCGGTAGCTATCGTCGTTATTCGGAAGATGTAGGACGAGGTGGCGTTGCGCCACTCCCATCGTGCCCGAGAATGAATCCTACTACTGGCTATCAAGATTGGTTGACGCTTCCTCAGTGTCCCAACTTCGACATTTGTCCAAGTTGCTTCAACTCGATCATAGCACCAACAGGATTTCGAGACCACTTTATACCCGCTCCTCGCAGACCAGACATTGCAATCATATGCGATTTTGGCAGTTCGCCCTGGTATCGAATAGCATGGCTTTTAACGCTTAAGGAGCGAAGAAACGATCTCGGTCTTTTCTATGGTCTCGCTAATGTGGGGGCGGTTGAGGCACCCTGCCCTGGAAAACGCGAAGCGTTTAACAGATCATGGAACTCAATCATCGACCCCAAGACAGGCTTACCAATCAAAAACTTTGACGTTTGTCACTCATGCGTTAGATCGGTCGAGATACTTCTTCCTCCCATCCGTGGTGCATTTGTTCGTACCATCGAAACAGATTATTCTAGCTCCATTCCCCGCATATGCGACCTTCGTTTTGACAGTAAACGCTTCGTTCAATATTTCGATGCTCTAGAAACTACTGCAGATGATGCTGCTTACCACAACTCTTCCCCCGACACCCGCACTCTTGCTAAACTCGCCCGCAAATTTTCCATTCTAGAAGAATGTCAACAAGCTACCGATCTTCCTGATCGCCGCTGGTACATGATCACTCAATTGCCCGAATTTACCGTCTGCGAAGAGTGTTTTGATGACGTTATCCTCCCAGAACTAGAAGATGGAAAGGCAATCCCACTCATGTTCAATAAAACTCCACAGCGAATACAAAAGGCCAGTTGTCAATTATATTCTCCCAGAATGAGAGTCATTTTCCAAAAAGCTTGTAACTCGGATGATTATATGCTTTTGGCTACCAAGGCGAGAGAGAGAAGAAATGCAGAGTTGGCCTGGAAGGTTAATGTAGCGGCTACCAAGAGGCAGAGTAGGGAGAGTATGGTTGCGAATCCAGGAATAGGGAGAGAGATTCAGAGATTGAATGATGAGTGGAGGAAATGGGAATGAAGTGTCGAGGACTCATTCGATGTGAATCAGCAATGGTTTGGTGAAAGGTACGGGGATTGGATCTGATGAGATTCATCTGCGATATTTAAATTGGAAATTTCGCATTAGTTTGGATGTTGAAAACGCGCTTGTTTGGCTACACATGAGTAAGATGGAATCGGAATTCCGGAAGAATGATGAGATGATGACGCCACGAACTCAAAAGTCATGAACAGATGAGTAGACGAATGATGAGCAATGAGCAATGAACAATGAACAGACGAATAAATGCATTCATGATAAGATTGGATGGATTGGATAGGATACCAAACATGTATGAGGATTTAGCTTACGACGCGAAATGATACCAAGACTTTTACTCTGCACAATTGAACTGGACCAGTGAGAAGAACAATAAGAGATACAGATACTATTGTTTCTTCAAAATGTTGAGTGCTGCATTTTCAGATATCTCATCACTACCACGAAATATCAAAATTTTAGATCGCACCAATAAAAAATAGGCGGCGAGATATCGTTTCAAGCAATGAGATAAAATTAGTCTACTCAATAATCTCTGCTTACAACTCTGATACTTCGTTGAATCAAACCCTTCGACGAAACCAAACCCCTCTGACAAACCCAGTCCATGTAATAAACTTATTTCCCCTAACCGACTCAATTCCTCCTCCCTCTATCCCCACATAAACTGGTACTACACCTGAATGCCGAACCAACCCCAATCTCATAATCAATAACCTTGTTAAATCAGTATTATATTCATCGAGTCATGAAGACCTACATACCATCACTCAAGTCTAATTCATCCAAGAGCAAGTCAACGACCTCTGATCTGACCTTCTTAGTTGGACTGGTTGAACCACTCGCCGTTCCAGAAACAACTCTCTTCTTTCTTCTCTCCATCTCATATTTAATGTTCTTGGCTCTCTCTATCTCTGGTATCTCTCTCTGGACCTTTGTTGAGCCATTTCTAGAAAGTTCGTGTTTAAACGCGCCCATATCTTCGGATTTCTTGCTACGCAAGGGGAATTTTATATCGAGGGGCTTGGCTTCAGGAGCAGTATGTTTCTCACATGAGTGGTTGCTGAGATTAATGACATCTTGCTCACGACGGATGCAAGTGGCCTTGGTGGCTTCTTCTTCGCGACGATCTGATCCGCAGGAAGCAGCCCAATCAGTGTGAAGTTGTGGATCATTGGCCCATGACTTCCCAGCCATATGCTTGGGATCATTCAAATCAAACAATCGCTTAGTATGCTCCCATTCTGCGATCATCTTAATTCCGAGGCCTGTGGAAGGAGCACCAGTCTTATTCTGTTCGAGGACTTGTTCATGATATTTGTTGAGGAAGTTGCAGATGATTTTTCTTTCCTCGTCAGTGACTTCGGGTGAATCACAAAGTTTGAAGAGGATTTTTTCGATGCTCCATGCGGAATCACCGGCGAGGACCCAGGGGATAGATTCTCGAAAGATGCCATTCTTGAAAGCACGCTTGTGAATGCTGTGAAGAACGTACCAGCGGTAGAATCTGACAAAAGGAAGCTCCTGTTGTTGGTCGATTTCTTTGAATGCTGACTTCTGCAATGAATTAGATCAAATCTGAGATCTTGGTGCTGGAATATGTGATGGAATTGCAGATGCTGATATATGACTTGACGAGACGAGACGAGACGAGACTTTTTAGTACCCTCGTCTGTATCCATGTTGAAGATTTCGAAATTAAAACTTCAATAGATGAGACTACTTAATCTCCGCACTTATGTTGGGCATATGAAGGACTGATATGGCAGGTGCAGAAACCTTACTTTTGTATTGTATATTGGAATTGATGGAGAGGTATGGATCAAGTGAGGGAGATGTGACTTTTCAAGCTTGTAATTTGTACTACGATTGAAAGTTTTGGGACTTTGGGTTGAGTAATTAAAACTTATTATTATTCTTCTGTGTGTGTTGACATCGAAAGTATCGATACAGGACGTATTGGGTTGAGTAGACGAGACTCGTCAGTCTTGGGGACTTTATCGAACATTGAAAGTCTTGATGATGGGAAACGGAAGAAAGATCTTAAATCTAGAGCGAAGGAAGGAAAGAAGACTTACGAGTCTTATCGTCTCCGGGTCAGTCGATTGTGGAGTCATATTTCTTGCGAATCGTGGATCTGTTGGTTCGACTGTGTCAGAAATAATATGAGCAAGTATGCCAGGAGACGATGACATGAATGAAACATTTAGAAAATAGAACTTACAACACATGTCCTGATGTGCTACCCAGTGCATTTAAGATTATTTAAGACGAGAGATGATGGATCCAATTTGATAGTAAAGCAAAGAAAAGGAATGCGAAGTGATGTGAAGTGATGCGAAGCAAATTGTAGTGTTCTGTAATTAACAAGATTGTGTTGTAGTGTGTAGGAAAATGAAGAGATGAAGAGAACAAAATCATCTTGGTGACCTACTTATGTTGGATGTTCCTTCCTTCTCTGAATATTTCGTCAGGTACGAAGGATGTGTAAATAGGAAGGCACGGCCGACTACTACATCTTGTCTCGAAGTTTCTTGAATTCAAGCAGCAGTTGAGAAGAATCCAGCGACCATGATAATAAATACAGAATATATTATTACCGCGGCTATGAATGATTCTCATGATCTCATCGCATCGATACAACATAGACATCACTAACCGCCCTTATGTGTAAACAAGTAAACAGGAAAAGTAGGAAAAAACAACTAAAGCGCCTTCGAAGTTCTTCGTGATACAGATACATCCAAACAATCATAAAGCAACAAGAGTATGTATGCACCCAAACACTACCAAAACCAAAAGTCCTATCCGATCTCTCATCTTTCCAACTTTAAAAGTTCATTCGGAACTTCAACTTATCCCCGTCGACTATCTCTTTCTCTCGGCTCATGATTTCCGCCATATCCCAATTACAACTGAGGTACCTACCAGCGAGCCACTTTCTCTTTTGAGACGTCAAATATGGAATTGTGTCGGCAGCAAGCTCTGGGGTATCTATGAGAACTATTGGATGTATATCAGTACAACTCCTTGAAAACTAAAGCTGCAAACCGCCTATGCAATCAATACGGCATCATTGCATTGGAGATTCCTTTGAGAACGAAGTGGAAAAATTGGCTTCTCTTACTTTTACGATAATCTTCTGGCAATGCGCTTGACAGATCAGTCACCACAGCTCCCGGATGCACAGAGTATGCCAGTACTAAGAGATCAATCATTAGTATACCATCCTAAAACTCAGTCACACCAACAAAGGAAACAGAAAACTGTAACTCACAATCTTGATCCCCATACTCAACACACAATGTTTCCGTGAACCTCACAAGCCCGAATTTCGACATCTGATACCCACTCATCCCAGGGCTCATGAGCAGAGCCGCCACACTTGACAGATTCACAATGGTCTTATCGCCACCATCTGTCTTCAGTAACAATGGCAATAAGCACTTGGTAACCCAGTACACTCCTCTCAAGTTGATTTCCAGATTCATCCACCATTCATCTTTATCTCCATCCACTGTATTCGTTGCGGAAGAAAAATACCCCGCATTGTTAATCAGAATATCCAATCGACCGAACGTCGTCTCGATAGATTTAGCAGCCTCTGCGACGCTTGCAAAATCCAGTACATCAAGCTTCAGAGCAAGAATGTTTGGAACGGGAGTATTTGCTGATTTACAAACTTCCTCGATTTCTCTTTCCACAGAAGCCAAGGAAGCTCGTGCGCTGATAATAAGACCAGACACACCGGATTTGGCATATGAGAGGGCAATTGCACGACCAATCCCTTTTGATGCTCCGTTTACAAAAACTACTTTGCCACTATGGCTTGAAGCTTTAGGACTGATTTCGGCGTAGGTATCATTGTAGAATATCTTTGTGAAGGTCTGGCCTAGGGTTGAAAGAGATCAGTTATCTTAAATTTGGTATGGAATTTTTGGTATCTTACCACTTTCGGCGGGAAATAGTGAACTGGAAGACATTTTGACCGAAGAGATGACTTGTAAAAATTACTATGTTCGGCTTGAATATATTTATTGAGGAGATCTCGAGAAGATGACTTATTGATTCTATTGAAGCTAATTGTTGAACTCTTGGAACTACTGTGCTGAATGACGGGGAGTTACCAGATTAAATAAGTGCACTTCCAAGTACCACCGTACCCCGTCCATAACCATTACGAGAAAAATAACGTCTCATCATCGACAACATAGATGACCTCCATACTCAAGACGAAATGACGATCAGTTAGCAATCCGCTAAACACCAGGTCTCAAACCACCTAAATCCGATAATCCCGTCGGACTTCGGAACGAAATCCACGCTGCTCTGGAGTGCAAGTCCCTCAATGCAACCAAAGCCTCACTTCAACAAAATTATCTACCAATGCACACTCGGGAAATGTCGCAAACTTTGAGGTTTCCCCAAAAATACTCCATATATTATGGATGCGCCGGACTAAGTTGACGTGCCAAATGACGAGCCATCTGGAATATCGCTGAATGAGCCCGGGCAACCCGATTTTTTTCCCCATCAGAGGCCAATCAAATGAGGTATATCATGAAGTATATTGACTGCCCCACTCTGCTAGTCGTCTACAACTGCTGTGTCCACTTTAATATCAAGTGGAGTGCTAGATCCCACGTGAAATTCTGGTTGCCGAGAGGGATACACGAGAATAGGAGCATAGCGGAAACGCAATGCTATGCAGTAAAGCCCCTCTCTATGAGGATACCGAATAGTATCCTGATACAAGGGTTTCAAGGATATAGATCATTTTTGAACTTTAAAAGTTTCGAGACCCAAAAGTATATATCCTTGACTAGATATTATGCTTATAAAGAGACTATCCTTATAAAGAGACTATCCTTATAAAGAGACTATCCTTATAAAGAGATCATGCTTATAAAGAACTTATACTTATAGAAAATGGACCCACAACAACTCCTCATTCGAACGCACTGGGACTCTAAAAGTCGTATAACACTTGAAGTGAAGATTACCAATCCAAAGCATAAGAAAATATATACAGACTCACTCTCTCACTCACTCACCATCCATATATTCATCCCACATACCCATCACCCATTCCATCACCCATCCCATCTAATCACCATAGAGAAAACCCACCCACTAGGTACCTACTAGGGAGGTTGCGTAGTACATATCCAAAGTATGTACTTATCACCAATCTTCTAATCGGTATGGGATATCATCCTCTCCAGCGTAGACCCCGATCCAGAAACAAATCGCACAGCTATGTCAATAATATCCGATAACTCCATGCCATTTAACTTTCCGATGAGAAGAGGAAACTTGGTCATATTTACGCAACATGCAGATTGTTGCGAGGTTCTCGCATCCCAGAGTTCTTCTGCCGTGGGCGTTGAGATTTCCACTCACAAGTATATCTAATCGTCTGTTCGTTCTGTCGTAGCTGATGATATGATTCCAATTTCCCATTGACAAGCAACACTACTCAGCATTCCTTTTCTTTTCTTTTCTTTCCCGTAGTAAAAGCAAGATCCACGACGCAAAGCGCATTCATCACCAAAAGACCCAAAACTCACCCACTGAGATTCAATAATTTTCATTTATCGTGTAAACCACTAATTATAAAAATTATTTTTTTAGTTATTATTTTAGAAACTGACGCTATCAAAACTCATGATGCATCTAGCAAGCAGCAATTAATAAACTTCATAAGTTCATTATATCATGGGTATTCCAAGTCCCTCACTATACATCCCGACCATATAAAACGCCCCTCATATGCAATTAGCCACTCTCCGCCACTCTCGCCTTCATTTTTAGAACCCTTAATCCACCCCGCTCACAAAATGCTCCTCCGTTTATTACTTAACATACTGTAACTGCTCGCCGTTCTCGATTTCAGCTTTGTAACAGAGCCTATTCTGCTTTTCAGCTCAAAACTCGAAGGTTCAAAGACACTGCTACTATTCCCCTCCTTCAGATAGAAGTGACTTGAATTTTCTTCATGATGAACATGGAAATCAACATTCAACTGATCACCTTGTGGACCAGCGCCACAACTTCCACCTAAGCGCTGAGAAGGAGGACTATTAACCGCCAGAGCAAATAAATTTTGTGTTTCGGTAAAATCGGTGACGAGACCGCGTTGACGGATAAAGTAACCGAGACAGAATAAATTGGTGAGAAAGACGAGAAGGAGAACAACGTAAAACATGTTTTGCCATCGAACAGCCGGGCCGGAGGTGTAGGATTGACTGGAGATTGATGCGTTAAATGGTTCGTAGACGCCGGGACTTACGATTTCGTTTGTACCGGTGTATCCCATATAATGTCTGTAGGTAGCGCCTTGAGCACTGATCAATAAAGTACAGCCAGATAGCGAAGCGAGGGCTTCTGCGAGACTGGGTAACGTGGTATTCAGGCTAGGAGCTGTCGGGACGAACTGTGTAAGTAATCGAGAAATAGAAGCGTTGTCATTTGAAATTCCAGTGTTGAGAGACAATGTAAGTGCCCATTCCGAAATTATGTTTCGAAAATCTCGTTGTCGACCTGGAGGAGGTGGTGGTGGGTTGTAGGATTTGTCATAAGCGATCTCATCGTTGGGATCTTCGCAAGTGTTTTCTAAAATTCCACCTACTCCAGAAGCCGAATATGTCGTGCTACAGTCGGTTGCAAGAAAGGAACCTAGCGAATGATTGTTAGCAATTTAGCTATCGCAATCTTCACCTGCTTATAACATTGTATATCTATTACTGGCTCGCATTGAATTTGAAAATCGAGTCACGAGGATAAAGGATTAAAGAAACAAGGATGTGAGGAGTACTTACTCATTTCGCACACAGTGTAGTCGGCTGTGGCATTTGATTTCGCAAGAATGTATATGTAGTCGCTCATGTACACTGATATATTGGTCATAGTATTGTAGTCGATAGGCAACTACAGGGGTTAGCCGATACAGACACACAAAGTTATACAGCGTAAGCTTACCATTGGAAACACTGGAGGTTGTTTTCCATCTACGCCCCACCCAAATATGTCATCCACCGCAGTGCTATTGAGATACTTCTGGCCTGGCTGTAGATTGATATCCAATGTGTAACCACTCCAAGCCATTTTCTGGCCTGGAATATTTGGAGAGTCTGTTGTGATTGCATTAGGCCAGTCAACATAAATGATTGGCGAGAGTTCTGTTTTATTCATGTTGACACATAAAACATTGATAGTGGGGCTCACTACCGATGCTTTAACTTTGTATTCTCCTACACCTTCAAGATCAGAAGGTTGTAGGATTCCATTGATTGAATCAGTCGCAGCGGAAATGACACCAGCGTGCGGCATAGCAAGAGTAACATTGTTAACAATACGATTGTACTTTTCATAACTGGCAGCCATATCGCTAGTATCGGTACGAATCCATGATGCTTTGACAGTAGTATTGTCATAAAGGTTGGCTGTCACAATTGGGCGGTCTGCCAGCTTAGATGAGTTACCTTTTCCTCCAGCACCAGCAATGTCGGCCCAAGTACGAACATACTCAAGGAAATTATGATAGGCTAAAAAGTTAGCGTATTCTAGAAATAGCCTGCTTGGGGATTTGCACACCTTCTCCAGCGTGATCGATATCCACACAAGTGGAAGCAGAGTATTCCGAATCCATTTCTTTTGTGATTGGAGTTTCGCAAGTCTGTGCAACATAATAAGGATTCCCATAGCTTGTTTGGACCAATCCTTTCATTACTGCATGTTCCCACTTGCCAAACTGGAGACTAGGACTAACGATGGCATCTGATGCCGTGGTATAGAACATAGCTACAAAAGCTGCCGTCAAAGTAATAGCTCCCAAGATTGACCATGCGGCTCTTCGCAAAATTTTAGGATTTGTGATCATGAATCCTGGTTGGATGACCTAAAAGTGGCAGTTAATATCAGACGAACATTCCACACAATCAAAATATCTAAGCCTCAAAGGAAAAACTCAGCATCAAACAAAATAAAAAGCAAACCTACCCAAGTTCGCATTGTCAACTCTGCAACAGTGACACCATCAGAGTTCCTAACAAGAGACCTCCGACTTAAGACTTGGCCGAGGAAGTTGACAAATATAGTGACGAAAGATAACTCAATACTTTTCGCAAAACCGGCAAATAGAATCGAAGCAGTCGACGGCGTCAACGAACCATTAGTTTTGATATGCTCACCATATCGCGGCCGAAGAACAGCTATGAAAAACCAAATCCCGGAAAATATGGTTGAATATATGCAGAGGCATAGAACGGATATTGACGTCCAACTTCTGACACGCGAATGAATATCATTATTCGCTGCACACCCGCATCCGATATGTTTCTCGTTGTGTACATGATCTTCATGGATACTGCTCAACCTTGACATATTCGGGGTGTCAAAAGCCTGGTCCAGACTCTCCGTGAAAGCTGAAATCTTTCCCCTAGAAATATCTTGTTCATCCAGAGATTCATTGTTGCGTCTTTGCCCTTGGTCCACGTCCAAAAAGTCTCCTCCCCCACCATATGTATTATTTTCCGTCCACGTTGGAGATGCCAGTAAACGATTTGTCGAAGTTGCAGGAGAGGTCATCAAAGATGCAGACCCAATTGGCGGGCTATAAAATCCGCTCGGGGGACTGGGCGGACTTGGCGATTTGCGACTCGCAGAGGTAGGCATTCGAGATATTCCTAATCCTTGAGACATGTTCGCAGATTCAGACGATTCGCCCTCGACGGTTAAGGGAATTGTAGAGTAAGGTAAATTTTCTTGAACATTTTCGAGATTTGGAGAAAATTGAACTGAACCTTGGGAGTCCATTCTGCGATATCCGTGTCGTTGATGGGTCAATCTCGGTGGACTGGTTGATACCGAAGAAGATGCGACGCCGGTTGCATTATCTGAAAGATCGATTTCCCTTGATTTTAATATACTTTTTCGCTCAGCCGGACTGGCACTCATGTTGAGTGAATGTGGATTGTTTCAA